AATTCTTGGATAAGGGCTGTTACACCCTTTTCAGTTATTTAGATTAAAGTCTTGCATTTTGTGCGCTGTGCTACAAGGAATGTTTCTTAAACCAAACAGCTTACATACAGGTCAGTTTCTTCATAACGGCCTACATGAGAGGGATTTCTGCTAGTAGGGTATCCATGAAGCCATGAAATGCCGTATTGTTATGTACCACAGTTTTACAAATTATAACTATTTTAAATTTGAAATGTGATAGTGAAGGTAAATTAATTCTTTCTATAGTGTACTTGTTCTCACATTGTCTAGCTCAATAGCAAACTGAAATAGTCATACACCTTGTATGAACTGGTTTCAGTGGGAAGTTCTGGTAATAGGATTACTCGTATACATCATCTTGTGTGTAGATTTTTCAGTTACTGAGTATAATTTTGTACAGAATGAGACTTGAGGTTCTCACATGGTCAGCATTATGATGGCGGTCTTCTGGCATGTGATGACACCATATAGTTTGGTAGATACAGGTAAACGTACTGCCTTTATCTTCTGGGCTGTAGAACCTTTACGTTTTCCCTTGGATGTAGGTTTCATACTGATGTCTAAGTGATTATTTATGCATAGAAAATTGGTATGGTTATGTACTAATTCTCATTTTAGATACATGCATAAAATTATTGTCATAGGATGCAGAGATTGTCAACAAAGATTTTCCTTAATGGCCTCTTTAGCAAGAGTTTACAAAATAGTGTGTGGAAACTCTTAGTATTATGTCTTTGATCCAAGTCCCAATTAACTGAACAGTGCATCATCGTTGTCATCGCCATCATCACTTTCTGGTCTTTTTTGCACAGTATTTGTAACTTTGTAACTGTAATTGCAGTAGTAAAGTTAGAAGTTCATTCAGAGGTCCAGTCAGACGAAACTACGATAGAATAGTTGTTCCATCAGCATTGGACTGTGGAAGTTTACAGCTGTCCACTTCTGATATGATGCCATGGGTGTCCCCACTTTGGGTATTTGTTCTTACATTGGAGTTCACGAAGGAGCAAAGTTTTTTGGCCGTTTTTTCTCCGCAGATAAGATACGTTTTTAATTCTGTTTGCTGTACATAGAGCTTGCACTGACATGTTGACTGCTGCGTTCGGTTTTGGAGCTTACATTGGTAATTAAATATGTCACAATATTTTGAGATTTGTGGTGGTGAATATTTAGATTACAGTCTTCTTGATGTGACAGCATGTAGCATCAGGATAGGTGTCCTTTCAGCGTTTTGGAATAATCTGATGCCCTGTAGGAACTAGTTGAACAGTTTTGTTCCCCTCTAGCAAGAGGAATTCCTTGTGCAGGTGCTGATGCACACTTGGGGCAGCAAATGGAGACAGCTGGTCTTCCAAAACATTGGTTCCTGTCTACCAAACAGCATGGTGTCACATCTGAGAAGGCTATAGTTTTTGTATTCATTGACACCTTAGCTCCTGTAAATGAGCTTGGTCTTGTGCTGCTATTGTGATCAAAGTACCATAGTGGATTTTTGGTCATTTAAGACTGATTTTACAAGTCAGCATTTTTTCTTTCTGAAAGCACTTTGAGCACATAGTTCCTTCCTTAGTCTAGATGGTGCATGTAGTCAGTGTTTCAGTTTCTTGAACATGTAATCATTTGCTGCTTGTTGTCATTGTATGAAATACTGCCAGCTGCTAATGTACTGGTAGATGATGGGCCAGCTACAGAGGTGCTGGGAGTGAAAATGTTAACGTACTGTAGCTCAGTTTGAAGCCATATAGCTTGATTCCATTCCTTGGAACTTATATGTTTTAATACTCACACTTGTTTCACATGGTCAGAAGGTTCATACAGCCATTGGAACTCTTGCAGAGTAATGAGTGGTGACCTTGTCTATGAAATTTAGACTTCAGCTTGATGATTAGCTACAGTTGAGTAGAGGCTGTATACAGTGAAAAATGTGGTGTTCTCAGCTCTAGAAAACTTTACAGCCTGCAGACATAAATATTTGTGTAACTGTGGAGCTGTACCTTGAACAGTTATGTTTTGCATGAGATTCGAGGTTTTTGTGGAAGTGAAAAATGAGATTGCTGTGTTCTGGAGTGCAATGCCATGTACGTAATTTGATATTACATGGCATGGCATCAGGGGAGACAAGACGTGTGCTGAACCTTCTGGTGTGCCATATTCAAGAGCAAAGCAATACACTGTTTTTTGGACGTATCTAATTTAGTATGAGTGTCATTAAACTTCCCTCTTTTATGTATTCCTGTTTAGTACTAAGCCGTAATTATGAAACCTTTCCATTATTTTTGTTTTGCAAAGGACTGTAAGATCAGAACACTTCTGGTGGCATTTAATTCGTGATGTGACTACGAAGTTCTGTGTTGAAATTTATATGGATGCACTCAGACTTTAACTTAGGCAACATTTGGTCTGTACGTGGGCAACGTGAAATTAAATACATAAAATTTGGGCTGTTTAGGTATATGAATAATTATGTATATACTTTTATCTGTGTATTTTTTATATATTACATGCAATAGAAACATGCCAGTAATATGAAACACTGATAACAAATGCAATTCACGTCAGAAGCTAGGGTTCTCATTCTTCCTAGCACATTTTAAAAAATGAGTTAGTAATGTAATATATGTTTCCATAAGTAAAAAGCTCATAACATTTTTAAAAAGATAAAAACCAAAAAAGGAAAGCAGACAAATACAGGCTGATTCACATATTAATTTTGTTTTAATAATAAAAACTTTAACAAGAGAACCCATATAATACAAACATGAAAAACAGTGGATCAACAGGTATCAACTTAACTTAATAAATCGTGTAGTTTGCTTTATTTTATTCAAAAAAATGCAGTAAGGTTATATGTAATGTTGGCTTATGGAATTCAGTGCAGTACTTGACACTGCATTTTTCAACTACCTTATTGTAGTTAGGAGTGTAATGGGTAATAGACATTCTTGTACCAATCATTTAAAAGTTTATCAGTTAATTATAATCTGTACTATGACATCAATATTTTCACTTTGAAAACACTGATTTTATTAAGTAAATAGAATCAAAACAGTCGTTCACCTTTAATGACCTCTCATTAGAGAGCATGTCCCGGATTAACAAACCTACAACTGTCTGAGTAATAAAAATCTGGTCTCGGGCCCCAGATGGGAGCTTGACACCAAGACAGAGTGGTTGATTGACTCAGTCATAACATAACTTTGAATTTGAATCTGAGAGTCATTCAGTGGAGTTAGTGAGTTTAGGTTATTGCATAATTAGAAACTATCATTTGTACAAGTTACTGCTGTAAGGACAATGAAATGAGGGAGGCTGTGGTGAACTGGATATGTGGCTAGGATGAGGGAGATGAGAATTATGGTGCATAAACCTCTTGTAAAACTTGAATGGCCAAAATGAGAAGGGAGAATAATATTAAGATGTACGAATATCTGAGATGATATTCTGAAGACTGGAACTTGCTGTTACTACCTTAGGATCGTACCCAGTAGTAGGCTTTGGTAATGCATGTCTTCTAATAACTTCTTGTTACTAAGTAACCTTCATTTTAGAAGTGACTGTGGTTGCTCATTTATTTTTGTAGTCTCCAGTTCCAATATTCTGCTAGACAAAAGTCTAACCATATGCCCTTAAAGTCTTACAACAAGAAAGTGAAAGTGTGGTTTTGTGGGTGTAATGCATTTCATTATGGTGTTGTGAGTTCTGAATCATTGCATTCCTTGTTAGACTATTGTTGCATTGTTGTCATCATCACCAGCATTGATGAACTGCAAGGATTAAATTTGTTAGCCTAATCCTTTTTCAAACATGAAACATCTTTGAGGAGATGTAACTCTTTTTTATTTGAGTCTGTTACCACCCTGTTGCAAAATCCCCTTTCATGGGGACAAAGGTTTTTATGCAGGCTTTTTCGTCCCTAAGGTTGCCTACCATGGATGATGAGTTCAATCCCTCTGCGTAATGCTTGGGAGGGGACCTTACTAGGTGTTACCCATTGGACCAGTGTGACCTGGATTTCGCATAAGGCAGGGTTGCCACTGTCTGCAGGTGGATTGTCTCTTATGAGAGTTTCATTTTGTTGCCATTTGAACTGTTGCTAATTATAATGGTATACAGCTATCATGACTTGAGTTGTGCTGGATACTAGTGACTGTAGAAGTTAAATATTGACCCTGAGCATAAAAAATGCATTTTTCTTGGTCTCAGGGTGAAACTTCCTCATTGGTTTGTCCATATTTGAAAGTATAATTGTGCTGCCATTCCTGAAAGGGTTGTCCATGTTCCAAAACCTTGCTATTCCTCATTGGGTTGTTCATATTTCTAACAGTTATTGTGATGCTTTTCCTTGCAGGATATTTGTCTTTCAAAGTGTAATTTTGTGAGTGATTCCATACCTTGTAGAGCTAAGTATCCTTACTTCAAATTACTGTTTGTTGATGTCTTTTTCTCATCGGGTTGTCCATATATCAGCGTATCATTCACACATAATAAAATAATAAACCTCTGCAGCAGTGGATATGCCATGATGCAGATAGGATATAACATTAATTGACAATAGATCATTCTTACAAATTATTAAATGTGTAAGGTTTTGTATTGTAAAATATTTGGAGTTATAGGGATGAGACAGAAAAACTACCAGGATAGGTTACACCACAGCAGATAAAATTCCCCAGGCAACTGGATAAGGAATTTTTGTCCTTAAGAGTTTTGTAGCCTGTGTCCGGAGTGTAACTTGGCTTTCAGTGTTTAGTCACATCATAGGTTGAAGCTATTCCAATGTTTTGGTGTAAGTTGCAGATACCATATTCAGGGTGAATTTCCCTCAGGATGTTGGCTCTGGTATATGCTGAAATGTTAGAATATATTCAGCTTACTGTGCCACTAAACTGTGGAAGCTGAAGTCTAATTTGACTCTAGTTGTTATGACACAGTTTCCGTTTGTTTGGATTGTGATGCACATAATCACCTGTGTGCTGCAGGCCAGGCAGAATCAAATGAGATGGCTCCAAGAAACGGAATGGCAGGAATGAATCTGGACCGTCCTCGGTTACAGGTAAGTTTTAATTCTGAATGATGGTTCATACATCTGACATTGCATAACCCACAAGGGTATATTTTTAATGATGTGTTGAAGTTATGGAAGCAGGACTCTTACATAATATTTCGGATGACTCTAAGACATATTGTGGCAAGATATTCCTGTAACAGGCCAGGAAGGCCCATGAGGTTGTGAGATGTCAAGGCTCAACATTTTGTAGACAGTTGGCTCACCGCTAGCAGTGAGGTTGGGTACCCGCATCTCTTAGAAGCTGAGTTGCTCTCAGGCCCACAGTATGGCTGCAAGGATTATTAGGTTAATTGAAAAATCCAGCGACCTCATTGGGAATCCTTGCAAGGACCAAATCTCAAAACCTTCCTATGCAGATAGTTACCATTTTAAGTATTTTGTCAGTTTGTACAAAACTGCACTCATGTGCAGGTGGCTGGAGCTGGGCTTGCAATGCCGTAAAACAGCCCACAGTGTTTGTATCAAACATCAGTGAAAACTTCAAAATTCTGAGTTTCTATAAGGTTTGATGTTTTGACAACAGTGAAGGTTGTTTTGTGGTCTGCTCCGTGTAATCTGGTAGCTGGATACCACTGTTTTGTAGGATCACAGTGCCTCCATCATCAGGGTTTTTGAGATTTTGGCAGTGTGTTCTACTGGACCAGACTGATGTTGTAGCCCAGATGACCAGTATTTATTTTCTGAGATTTTTCTCTGCTCTGCAATATCTGGACTGCCTGTGGGACCCAAATTGCTTCCAGTCCACTGGGTAGGTGGGAGCTCTTTTTCAGGGGGCTAAAGCGATTAGGGTGTGAAGCTGACCACTCACCTGCATCTAGTGTTGAGGTCAAGAATGGTGGAACTATAGCTCCACTCCCTCATATCTTCATGGCATGATGGTTAATTAATTAAGCACAAGATATTCCGTACTCTCTTACCTTACATGTCATAGCTGTGCTAAGTTAACCAGTATACACTCCTCATGTGTGTGACACAGTGACCAGATCATTTTTGAATGAGTTTTGAGGTGTCTCGTGGCAGTGAATGTGGGTTATGATGCTACTTTGTGTGGTCTGCTCTGCAAATGGAGGCAGTGAGTCCTTTCAGAATGTTGATGCTTGTCTACCAAATTACATAGCGTCACATGCCAGGAAAGGGTAATGTTGATATGTGTCTGTTGTTTTGAAGGTCATATACATATATACGTACTCCTCTGTCATCCTCTGGAAAGTGTCCACTTTTGGCTCACAAAGGACGTACTGGTCACCATACTGCGGAGGTTGATGATCATGATTATGGTGGTTGTGATGAACAGTATTACTGAAACAAGTTATTAAGTTACTTGCTAATATTTGGTTATCTTTGTTCCCCATACATCATGGCATAATGCTTAGCACAAAGACAACTTTCACTTTTACCTGGTGCATTCATAATTTCTTCTGTGCACACATGGGCATGCATGCATGCGCTCACACAATTTTTTTAAGGAAGTCTTGTACTCAGAACTATTTAAAGTTTTGGAAGTTTAAAAATAATCTATTTAAAATTATTTTCAGCATGTAGACTTATTAAAAATATTCCCTAGTGTATACTGTAATAGGCTATGCTACATGCTTGAATGTCACAACTTCTCCTCTTCCAGTTCAGAATGAAACAGTGTCTGGGAGGGCTGAGAGGAAATGTACCAGGTTGTAGGTCAGTCGAACCAAGCAACTTGACTTCAGCAATAGCGTTTTTCATTTCTAATCAAGGGCTGTCCCATTTGAAGCTGGGACACCACATATCCTGACTGAGGTTTTTGTGATTTGTCTTATTTCCTTAAGGTAAAATGCTAGGATAGTATCCAAAATTGGGCCATGACCACTTCCTTCCATATCATTGTGCCATTTGACACTATGTAGCTTGAGCTACTCACACTCACTGAATAAAACAAATAAAAAAAGGTCCAAGTCAAGTCAGTGCAGCTGTATATTCTTCAGACTGTAAATTTTGTTTCATAAATATGGTATTATAGTCACCCTCTCAAAATTGTTGAAATGAGTTCTTCTGTCTTCTTTAGTTCATGGATTCGCATAGAGAGTTCAGAGGACCAAGCTTTTTCCACAATGAACTGCAACAGCAGCAAGTACCACAGCAACAGCAACAATTGCAGCACCAGCAGCTGCAACAGCGGCAACAGATTCCTCCATTCCAAAAACCACAACAGTTGCAACAGCAGCAGATGCCGCCTTTCCAGAAGCCACAACAGCAGATGCAGCGACCAGTTTCCCCATTTCAGAAACCTCAGCAGCAACTGCAACAACACCAGCAGCAACAGCTACAGCAACACCACCACCAGCAGCAGCTACAGCAACACCAGCAGCAGCAGCAGCAGCAGCAGCTACAGCAACACCAGCAGCAGCAGCAGCTACAGCAACACCAGCAGCAGCAGCAGCAGCAGCAGCTACAGCAACAGCAAGAGCAACAACAACATCAACAGCAGTTACAGCAACAACTGGAACTTCAGCAACAAGATCAGTTACAGCAGCGTATAGAACAACAACAGTTGCAGCAACAACAACTTCAGCAACAACAGCAGCAGTTGCTACAGCAAGATGTCCAGCCGCAACCATCATATAAGCAGAAACCCAAACTGATTGACCTGCAGGTATGTGCCAGTTATCTTCTCTTTACTCTCTCTGTGTCCCCTACACTTACATTGCATCTGCAGCTGGTTGCAGACCATTTTGTTATGTGTGTGTGTGTGTGTGTGTGCTTAATATTTTGCAGCAGGATTTGATTTCTTTCATTAGCGTTGTTGTAATACATTGTAGTTAAGTTATCCTAAACTTAGGTGCTTTGATGTATAATATTTGCTTATTGCTGTAGGTAGTCACTATTGAATGACAGAATTGTGGATTGCTGGTCAGTATTACTTACTGTATTGAACGCATGGAGCGAAGTCGCATACCTCATCAAGAGCATGGTGCCCAATGCTATGTTCTCCCTCCAGCCCAGAGGGCATGTACATAATGAAGGTTAATAAAATGAATATCACTACCCAGTTTTGCATGAACACAATGTACATATGACTAAAGGGTCATGGGACTTCTTTTCATGGTTGCAGTAGACATAGCATGTTGTAAAAAGTGCTCTAGAAATTCACGTCCAGAATGAATTAGGCTGCAGCATAGGGCTGGATTATGCACTCGAGTGTTTAGTTTTGTTCATCTAGGCTTGATTGGTGAGAGTTAAATCCCTCGCTACTGATATGGCCGGTGTGGCCAGGTTTAATATTGGTGGCAGAAGGATTTATGTTGCAGAAGATGTGATAGGTCTGTTGGTGCTTGCTGAACCGGAAACTGTGCGACACACAGGCGATAAAGTTTAGAACAGTGTGAGAAATTGAAACACACAAAGTGTTCTGAGATATGACTTCATGTATTGTGATAGACAGTACCAACATTTTGCAGGAGGTGTACTCTGAGGGGGTGCCTGTCTGCTGGACTGCATGGTGTCCACATTCCAGCATGAGAACTTCAGATCTCAAGTTTTCATACTTGCTGGAGGGACCATAGTATATAACTATATAATTGAGGGTAAAACAGTTTCATTTTAGAAAAAAAACATTTACCCAAGAGCTCATTATTTTGCCAAAGCACACAACAGTATTAACAGTGGTGGTTCAGCGGGTAACGTGATAGTGTGTGACACACTATAATTTCCTAATTTTAGAGTTTCATGGTGATTAATTATTGCTGTAAATTCCTTATGTATAATGTTGACATGTGGCTGTGGGCTTTGTTGCCAGTGTTTCAACATCACATGCTGCCACCATCTTCAGGGTTCAAGGTATGTAGGTTGGTGGATTTCTGTGTATGCATATCTTTTGGGTTTGAAAAGCAGTGTGGGAAGGTGGGAGATGGAGTGGGGATTGGTGTCTCATCTGGGCTAGTAGGGACAGTTTACTGGGAATGTTGTGCCAACAATACGAAGGGCCCAGGAGTGCAACAGAAATCCCATAATTTTTTGTTCATTTTCATGCTCTTTGACTAATTGAGTGGCCATTGGTCATTCTTTGCCCTTTGTCTGCATAACCCATGCATGGATAAGCTTCACCCTTCAGCAGTGACAAGTTTTGTACTTTCTCGTGTTTAACGTGGAAGTTGCCTTCTACTCATGGTTTATTCATTCTGATCCATCTGAACACACCTCACATGTATTTCCCTGTTTTGTTAGATGATGTGGCATTGTATAGTTTGGTAGATCATTTTGTAGAAACCATCTCCAGAGTACAGAAGTTCCAGTTCCACTGTGTTGTTATCTCAGTGTCTGCTTTCATTACTGTTCTCAGCTGCTGCTACTGTGTCTTCTTCAAGCTCAGTTTCACTCTCAGATGTAATCGCTATTGCTAGAATTAGCTCCTCCTGTACAGTATCTTTCAGTCCTCAATATTTGCACCAGTATGACATGGAGGAATTAAATTATGTTGTGAGTAACACAATATTTTCACTCTTGGCTGCAAGTGAAAAAAACCATACAGGTTAGTAATCATTCAGAATTTATTCTGGAGTTCCTGCTTACCTCAGAGCTGTCAAGTCCTTGAATGAATGTGAATGGCACAGGGGCCAGACATGGTCTTCCTTTAAGGGTAAGAAAGAGCCTTGTAAGTGGATGTTTATATGCAGTTTGCAGTAGGGTGACTTACGTCTACACTATGTACAGCTGTGCCATAGCCTCTGTAGATGGCTCAGAATAAAGGGGTATTTTAGCCTCGCTGATTTGGGACACGTGACTGATAAAGACTAACGTGCAGATATTCTCTTGATCAGTAGCACACCGTCTGTACAAATCTGAACTGCTGCTGGAAGTGTTTATTCAACATGTTGCATTCATATTCACCGGTAAATTAACTGAATACAGTTACAGCAGAAGTTATAATTAGTAAAGTAAAGTTGTGCTTCTCTTTTTTATTTCTAAATTAGCTGATGACCTTGTTTAATGCATGATTAGATATAAAGGAGGCACTTTTGAAATTTATTGTGATGGTGATGTTGGTAGTGTGATAAGAGGAATGTATTCAATTTGTGTGGAGATGCTCCTAGTTGGATGGTGCTCCTTTCTCCTTCAGCTCCACAGTACAAAGCCTCGAGCTGCTCGACCTGAAACTGCTGACTGGTCCCCTGTCACGGACCTGTCACCGATACTGGATGTGTCCCCAACCCTTGAACGTGCAGAGCAGGAGTTGATGCAGCGTTTCCAGGTAAACCCTCTCCTCAGTGCCATGATGTAGCGAGACTGTGATAGTTTCAGTAGAGTAGTCATAGGTCTGCTAGTATTAGCGATTAGCAACATGACATGTGCACACACACACATATATATACACACATACACATGTGTGTCCAAACCTCTGTTGGTAATGATATTTGGAGAGAAGTTTTCAGGTTTTGTTGCTGGTGAGTACTCAAATTTTGGTCTTATGGGCTGTGACAGTATAATTTTGGGGGTGGATACCAGTGTTTTGATGGAACGTCCTGCCACCGTCTTCAGGGTTAATCAATTTTATGTTAGTATCTGCCTCCAAGGCACCCCTGAAGGAGGGGGTGGATGAAGTAGAATGGCCACTGCAAAAGACATGCGAAAAACGGCAAGACCAAATGCAGACATTGCTAGCAGGAATCCTCCGAATTGAAGAAAAAGGCAATACCGTTAGACTGTTCGGGGCGAACAGCCTTAAGGAGGGAGCAATGTAATGTGCTGCATAAAAGACAGACTGTGGAACATCCATCATGGTGTAAATGGGAAGGAGAACGCATATTTCAACATTTGTTTCTGGTCAATGGATAACATTTCCTAGACAATGGAATGTAATGCAATATTGTAATTCTAACAGTGAGTGTCCACGGCTACAACACATTGTTCAAAGTGTTGTATGACTAACTGGAAAACCAAACTTTGTTCCATGAGCAGTCTGCAAAAGGCCTATTTAAAGGGGTTGAATGACCAGACAGACAGTTCAGTTGAGTTGTAGCAGTCACTGAGCAGATCAGCAGATACTTCACAGAGATTAACGGAGCAAGAATTGTGATGGTGAAGAAGAAACGTCTAGATGACTATAGGTGGTGATAATTGTACTTGTGACTGTTAAATAGTGTGTCAAATAAATATTTGCTCAAATCCGGAAATCCACGTGAATTATTGTTACGTTACATAGGAAACACATGACAATATGTTCACAGTTCAAAGGAATGTAGAATTTTGATTTGAGGGGGTCCATTTTTGTTTCATCTACACTGAGTCTAGCACGCCAACCTGTGAGCTACTGCATTTCACTTTATTTTTGGATTGTGAAGCTGCCTTGCCCAAATAGTTTTCTGTGCAATAGAAAAGTATTTTTTTTTTTAATTCTGCACGGAACTCCTTTTGAAAATTCATTTGAAGAGGTTGTATGTCTTCCACATGGTAAATGGGTGTAAATGAGGCAATAACTTGGCAGGCGTACTTCCTGTTGCAGGAGGGCGGGACCTTGGATCCGGCCCGTCCCATTCAACAAACCCAACAGCACACACAGCAGCAGCAACAGCAGCTGACATCAGCAGCAGCATCTGCTGCCAAGCCATCCACGGGCACTATCAGTGGCATGCTTGCTGACTTCAGCAAGGCTCTTGGTTTGTACTTTGCTTGTGTTATGGTTCAGGTTCCTCTGAGCAGTCATGGACCGTCCCTACAGCTTATCATTGTAAACTGCATAGAAAATACAGTGTATGGATATGTGGTACCATTGTTTTCTACATCAAATCATAACCACAGGATAGAGAATCATAACTCATAGACACAGTATGAGATGTAATATATGGGGTTTAAAAAAAAAATTATGTTCTTTTGGAGTCTTTATATAAGTCCTTTGCAGTTTTGGCAAAAGCTTCTTTGCAGAGATGTGTGGTTGCTATATTTGCCCCATTTGAATGACTCAAAATGCAAAACAAATGGAACTGTTATGTGTTACCTTACTGTCTGCTGGATTAAAATTAGCATTTTCCAGAGGAGGTGGTGTAAATGATATCTGCCCATGACCCATTATGCAACTGTCTGCAAGACGCATAAGGGTTCCCTGCTCTTGTTCCAATGTGTGTGATGTCCCATGTACAGTTTGCACAGTATCTTGCAGAACATTCTGGAGGCATATGAGACTTGCAGTGTTCCATTGGATTTATAAGGGGTGAATGTGCTGGCCATGACATGAGTCCACCCTATCCAATCTACCTCTGGCAACTGATAGTCCATACATTCACGTACCTTGTGACCAAGTGTTCTCAAGTGTAAATAATGTAGTATTTCTTCTTATGAGCTTTTGCTTCCAACAGTGCCATTTGTTTGAAGTCTGCTTGATGTTTTAGCAAGTTTTTTAACATACTATGGTAATTACATCTACCAGACAACTGTACTGTCAGAACACAATGCGCTGGGACCATGAGAGTGTGGTTACTGGTTTTAACCTTTATTCTCTTTGCTTCATATATAAATTTGACTCAGGTTTGGGTGGCACATCTCCACATCCATCACCATCAGAAGATAAACCAGACATACAGGAACAGCTGCAGCAAGGATCAGTATACCAAGATAACATAAGTCAGCATCCACATCAACCACCACCGAATTTACATCACATGCAGCAGCAGTTACAACTTCAGCAGCAAACACAGCAACTACAACTTCAGCAGCAAGCACAGCAGCTACAACTTCAGCAGCAGCAACAGCATCAGCAGCGTCAACAATTACAACAACAAGAACAGCAGCAACACCAGCAGCAGCAACAACAGCAGCAGCAGCAGCAGCAGCAGCAGCAGCAGCAACAACAACAACAACAACAACAACAACAACAACAACAGCAGCAGCAGCAGCAACAGCAACAAATAATGTTACAGCACCAGCAACAATCAGGTCTCCAGGTAACACTTTCATGTGTATCTGCCTAGTAAATCTTGATGTAAGTCATACCTCCACTTTTCAGGGCATCAAAATGTTTGACACATACTTTCTTTTGCTAAATGTAAATTTGTCTCTATGCGTGATTCACCCTTTAAAGCCAGTGCTTACTCTACCATAACTCTGCTTTCTGCTGAAACGTACCAAGGCCCAGGACCGAAAAGTGGTTTGGGATAAGAAAAAATTTTAAACAATACACACACCAAATAAATATAATAATATAATTGGTCGAGTGAAGGAACAATACAGGGTGTCCCAGATGAGGACAAAACAATGTAAAACAGTGCACCAACTCTTCTGTTAATTTAGCAAACCTAAAAATGTTCAAGAGATAATTTGGATCAAGACGAGCACCACACTCTTCCACGGTGTGCAGCAGAATCCCCCTTCGGTTTTCAGACGAACCTGCTAGTCCCTGGTGAAAGGGTGAAGGGTGCAAGCGTCGGGCGGGAGGAGAGGGGGAAACGAAATGAAGGGGGCTTCCTAGTTAAGGGACATGGCAGTAGTTTCTGATGTTACACTGCCTACAGGATATATTTGTGTGTATCATGTGGTTCTCACAGTAAGCGGCAGTTCTTTCCCTAAAGACCATTAACCGGGTTTTCTTTGTAACAGAAACGTAATGTGCTTCCTGTGAAGTATGAACTTATCTTTGATATATTATTTAGATGAAAATCATGCTTTAAAGGGTTAAGTACCAGACCTTAAAGGCATGTGCAGGAGTGGAGGTATAGCTGCTCACATTCTTAACCTCATCTCCACATGTGGATGAGTGGTTAGTTTCATGTATTCACTGTGTCGGAGGCCTGTGTCGACATGATGGAGGAGCAGGAAGTCCCTGTCTCTGCAGAAGAAACAGTTAGTTTTGTAAGAACAACATGTGTTGGGTGATCCCACTTTCCGTCAGCACGTTACCATCATCTCCTTCCTTCAAGTTTTGCATTGGTCACACAAACTTCATATGTCTGTGGCACCTGCTCTGCTGGTTTTCTCAAAAATTTCTTCTTGTCTTCTACCTTCAAGATGGAGGTGATACGTTCCTCCGAAACATCGGTTAACACAATTTCTACTCGGCACCACATCCCAGAAGACGTCTTTCTTCATATGTAAAGTTGGCCTGAATGGACTGCATGGTGTTATGTCCCAGTAGATAAAACTCATAATGACCACCACAGTCAGAACCGAATATGCTACTTATTATTTATGCTTCTGTAGGTATAAATAGGTTTTGTCAGCATAACTTTTATCATTGTCATGGTTGTAAGTTGTCAAGTGTTAAAACACATTGGGTGAACTTAAGTTATGTAGTTCGCTGGGAGCAAGTGAACAGTCTTTTTTTTTTTTTTCATTGTATCATGCTGATTCTGTGAGTATTGACAATATTTTGATATGTGAGGGTTCATGATTGCTTGTGTGTGTTATCATGATACTTGGCATTAAAGACTGGTCTTGACATATCATTCGATAAAACATCAGGCTGGGAAGGAATATGAGAGAAAGCGGGCACAGTTAATAGGATGAAATCTTATATAACAAATAATGAGACTTCCTAATCAGTTTTTAGATGATGGTACATTGATGTTCCCTTAGAATAGAAAATTTCAAATTTTGTGTCTGCAGTCAGACAATTATACAGTTAATAAGACAATTTCACTTGCTTAGGGCTTCTGTGAACTTCTTCATATATGTTATATATGTATTACAGCATCCAGTTACACTGCATATATATGACTTTGTGTTTTGCTTTTATGTTTGAGTCATTTACACCACCCCCACTCTTATGCTTCTCTGTTGAATGCAGTAGGGACTAGCCATGGATCTGGGCAGCACAAAGATGCAATGAAGGGGGCAGGGAACAAACTAAACAGTACCAAAGAAATTAACAGAAAATATTAATACAGTCGGTATATCGAGTGGCTACAGGCTGGACGACTGAGGGGTTGGAGTTCGAGTCCTGTTAGGGTCAAGAATTTTCTCTTCTCCAAGTAGTCCTCTCTGGGGGGGGGGGTATACCATCAGGGGTGTGAAGCTGACCACTCACCTCCAGCTAGTGCCAAGGTCAAGAAAATGTTATACATCTGCTCCCATATATGCCTTCATAGCATAGTGCTTATTTGGTTAAGCACAAGGACAGCTTTACCTTTTTTACTGTTATGTATATATCTGATAAAGCAGTACAAGTGAAATAACTTGCCTTCAGTAGAAATTCAACCAGACTGCAGGAAGACCATAAAAAAACCCCATGAAATCCCTGTTAAGGCCCATGCGTGGTCCGCCCACTTGAGGCAGAAAAATGAAATGCCAAAGGGGAAACATATTACCTTGGCAGAGAACATATGGACCAGAGTGCCCCGATCAGGAGGTAGAAATGATGGCTGAAATTATTTTAGAAGGAAAGGAGCCAAGCCAAATTTCAAAACAACCTCCACAAGTCGGATCTGAGTAAGAGGTATGATCCAGAGCTTACGCAGCAAACGAGGAGTGGGAGGGGGCACATATGCACTGCAGTCACAGCACCAAAACATAAATGCACCTAAAGAGAAATCCTCCAGACCGCCTCTGTGGTCTAGTGGTCAGCGTTCCTGGCTACAGATCCAGAGGTCTGGGTTTGATTCCTGGCACTAGCAGATTTTTTCGGAGAAGTAGTGGGTCTGGAACAGGGTCCATTCAGCCTTGTGATGAAAACTGAGGAGCTATTTCAAGGAAATAGCGGTTCCGGTCTAGAAAACCGAAATCAACAGCTGTGGGGATTCGTTGTGCTGACCATGCGACACCCTCTATCTGCAAAAGTTGGCACTAAACTTTGCTTGTGGACTGAAATCACGGAGTTTTTTTTTTTTAAGGGAAATCCTCCAGTGCCCAGCCAAGTCAATGGCACAATTTGATAGATGTGCTGGCAGAAGCATTGGCCAGTCTCCTGCACTCTGCTTGTTGTCTTCCATTTTATGATGTACAGAACTTCATATACTACACAGAGGCAGACGTGTTGTTCTACCCAAAGTGTCTTTGTGTTACAGATGTTTGTTTAAAAGAGATGGAAAAATATAAATGTGATGTAGCTTTTTCTTGGTGTGGAGCAGCATGCAGATGTGATAATAAACATAGGAATTACGTTTGATTGTTCTAACACACATCCTACCCTCCAACTGTGTAACTCTATGTATAAAACCAAGCCAGTGATGTTTACGTTATTTCAGATCATTCCATTTAAGTAGTTACATTCCTTTGCAGGAAATTGGTCTTTCGGATCCAGCCAGTTCTCTGCAGCAGCAACCACAGCAGCAGCCATTAACAGGAACATCTGCTGCCAAGCCAGCCACTGGCACAATCAGTGGCATGTTGGCTGATTTTAGCAAGGCTCTTGGTGAGTTGATGCTGAGCATGAGTTCAAGATGTTCACTCTGATGTCAGTGATTGAAATTGAAAGTAGCCTTTAAACTTGCTGCCCCCTGGTTTTGCAGGATGGAGGCTATATTTTAATTTGGAAGTTTATTGCCCGGGAATAGGTGATTTTAAATCTCCCATCTCTACAAGGCTAATTAACTAGCCAACTGTGTAATTAACTAACTAACTAACTAACTAACTAACTACATACATGGAGTTGAGTCCATCTTGATAAGCTGCCAGTTGCTCAGCTACTCAAGAATTTCGAACTGTTTTATGGAACCTGAAAGTTCATTACCATGTTCACAATAGCCCTCCACTGGTCCCTGTGCTCAGCCAGATCAACCCAGTTCATACCATCCCATCCCATCCAATTTCTCTAAGATCCATCTTAATGCAGGATTTGTCAGAATACATTAGACTTAAATTTGTGAAACGGGTAATTTATTTTCAGTTAATATAAGAAAGACAGATTTGTGAAGTCTGTAGAAAAGCATGCCATGTGATAACTACTTTTTAAAGATAGCATCAGTCAGATGAGCTCAGCTGTTACCGTAACTGCATGTCCATCGTTGTCTTCAAAAAAGTATGGTCCTAAATTCCAAATGAACTGAGTGAGCACCATTCTGTGATGATCTTCTTAACATACGCACTTAGATGAAAATGGGCTTCATCTGATGTTCTCAAGTTTGGGAGAAATTTCCAATAGCTTGGTCTCTTCACATACACAGTGTGTCCAGGTTCTGTTAGGACAAGACATGAATTATTTTAAAAATTTCACTCTTTTTATTCAAAATAGTCTCCTTCTGAATCAATACATAGCTGGAGTCGATTGAAAGGTTTTCGACAACAGTCACTGTACTCCTTTTGTGGAATCGCATTTAAAACTGCAGTAGATTCCCTTTGGATGTCCTGGATGGTGTTGTGACAGTCTCCTTTCATGGTCAACTTAACTTTTGGGAACAACCAGAAATCTCCTGGAGCCAAAGCTGGTGAATATGGAGGATGATCAAAGACTCGGAACCCTTTTCTGGCCAAAAAATCGTGCACGATCTTCAATTTGTGGGGTGGGGCATTGTCGTGGAGGAGCAACCAGGAAACTTGCTCTCAATGTTCAGGTCGAATTTGAAGAATTCTCGCCCACAAACGATTGAGGACTCTGAGAAAATAATCAGAATTCACTGTTTGACTGTCTGACAGAAATTCCTTGTGAATGATTCCTTTGGAATTGAGGAAAACGGTTAGCAGTGTCTTTACTCGACTCTTTTGCATGTGCACTATCTTTGGTTTCAGCCTCTTTGGGCTCAACCACACTGCACTCTGCCACTTTGTGAAAGGCTCATATTGAAAACACCATGTCTCGTCACCAGTAACAATTGATTTTGTAAATTTTGTATTACTTTGGGCCGACCATAACATGTCTTTGCAGTGTTCCACTCTGGCATGTATTTCATTGCCTGACAGCGCATTCAGTACAAACCGTGCACAGACCTTCTGTTTGCCCAAATCCTTGGTCAAAATTTGATGCACAGTACTTTTTGGTATTCCCAAAAGCTCTTGCAGAAACACATCTCTCTGATGCAAGGATTTCGGTCACTTTTTTCACATTTTCTTCAGTGCTACTTGTTCTCGGCTTTGATGCACATGGAGCGTCTTCTGTGTCCTCCCTGTCGTCATGAAATACAGCATATCATCGAAAAATGTTCGAGTGACTCAATCGCTACCGCACACACTTTTCATCATTTCGTATGCTTCTCCAGCTGTTTTGCCTAACTTCAGACAGAATTTAATGTTTGCTCTCTGTTCAACCACCATTTTCCAATGAGCGTCAGAACAGTACGGTTACATTCAGAACACATGATGTAGCGATGCTTCCGCTTTGGAATTATAAACAGTCACAGCTGAAACTTCAAGAATCTTAATGCTACATCTTGCCAACAAATGGCAGTGCAAGGCAAAATTAAAAAACAATGAGTCCTAACTGATCCTGGACACAAGTATATTCAAATCATGAGGCAGTAATTCTTGCACCATTTTAGTTTTGAATGGATGAAAGTGCCAATCTGTGTGTAACATTCTCCTAACACTCCTATCTCCCAGGCCTAGTGCTACAGGATGTCTAGCAGACTGTCATGGACTCTGCTTTAGGGCCACTCGCATCCTCTCCACATTTTCTGGGTTGTGCACTGATCGTGGATGGTCAGGATTCTTCTTTGGCAAGGCAGAAGCAGTTGACCTAAACTGGCTTACCCAATTTAAAATGGTTTGACGTATCAGAACCTTTACCATTTCTTCCAAGGTTAAAGTGTTTCCTAGATTCACGTGTCTGAGTAGCTGAATGATTATTTTTTAAAAATCTTGTCCACAGCAAATGCATGATGCTCAGATGACCAACACTCCATGGTGATTAATAGGCTTTGAACTGCTCTCAACGCAGCTGCAACAGTCAGCACATTATCTACTGGCATATGCATTTTTTGCCAGTTTCAAATCGTATGATCCTGCCACACCCTGTACTGTCCTCTCACCTACATCTGGGTCTTACTAGAGGCCTCTTGCCATCTGACTTTCCCACTAGAACACTGCATGCATTCCTGTTCGCCCCATGCATGCTACATGCCCTGCCCATCTCATCCTCGATATCATCATCAGTTTTCACACCCATACAAAACTGCAGGAAAAATTGTACTTTCTGTATACAGTAGACCCTTGTTTTACATTGGCGAAACAGGCAGACCTCTAGCTGTGTGGCTCCATGAATATGGACACAATCTCAGAGTCTTCTAGTGAAGTCAGAGACTGGCCCGACATGCCTTTTGAAAAGGGTCGTAGGGTAGGCTGGGATGAAGCAAGGATTTCAGAAATTGAAAGTTACAGCAGGTGTAGGAAATATAAGGAATCGGCCCATATGGCATGCTTAACCAGTCTCATCAGCCAACCCAGGTTGGACAGTTTCCCCATCTGGATCCCTCTTATCAGCAACTCATGCATATCAGCATGATGTGACAGTTTCATCATGCATTTCTATAAAGTTTTAGTCCCAAGTGTTCAGTGTTTATTCCCCAGATGGCACTAGTAGTAGGCACAAAAGGTTCCACTGAATTCTCCAATTAATTCTATGGCTCGATTTTCATGGACCTGGTATGTTGCCTAGGATTGTTGCATATAATTTTCACCAATTCTTCTCTCAAAGTTAAGTCCATATATAGATGAAATTATTGGGGATCATCAGTGTCGGTTTTGACATAACAGATCAACTACAGATCAGATCTTTTGCATTCGTCAGATATTGGAGAAAAAAATGGGAGTACGATGAGACAGTACATCAGCTATTCATAGACTTCAAGAAAGCCTATGATTCAGTTAGGAAGGAAGTATTGTACAGTATTCTGATAGAGTGTGAGATACCCATGAAACTAGTTAGGTTGATTGAAGTGTGTTTAAACGAAGTGTATAGTAAGGTCCATGGAGGTAAATATTTGTCCGATAAATTTCCTATCCAGAATGGTCTAAAACAAGGAGATGCTTTATTGCCACTCCTTTTCAACTTTGCCTTAGAATATGCAATTAGGAAGGTCCAGGGAAGCCAGGTGGAACTGAAATTAAACGGTATACATCAGCTGTTTGCCTATGCCGATGATGTGAATCTACTGGGTGATAATGTAGATACCATAAAGAAAAACACACAAACTTTAATTGACACAAGTAAAGAGGTTGGTCTAGAAGTAAACACAGAAAACTAAGTATATGTTGCTGCCTCGTCACCAGAATGCAGGGCAAAATCATGACATAAAATAGGAAACAGACGTTTTGAAAATGTGGCACAGTTCAGATATTTGGGAACAACGATAACAGATCGAAACCTGATTCAGAAGGAAATTAAGAGGAGATAACTCGGTTAAAGCTTGCTACCATTCAGTCTGCTGTCTAAAAACATGAAAATTAGGATGTACAAAACTATAATTTTGCCTGTGGTTCTGTATGTGTGTGAAACTTGGTCTCTGACATTAAGGGAGGAACATAGACTGAGAGTGTTTGAGAACAGGGTGTTGAGGAGAATATTTGGACCGAAGAGAGATGAAGTGACAGGAGGTTGGAGAAAACTGCATAATGAGGAGCTTCTTAACTTGTACTCTTCTCCAAGTATATTTAGAATGATCAAGTCAAGGAGGATGAGGTGGGCAGGTCATGTAGCACGAATGGGAGAGGCGAATGCATATAGGATATTGTTGGGAAAGCCAGAAAGAAAGAGACCACTGGGAAGACCAAGGCGTAGGTGGGTGGACAATATTAAAATGAATCTGAGAGAGGTAGGATGGGATGGTATTGATTAGATTGATCTGGCTCAGGATAGGGACCAGTGGAGGGCTCTCATGAACACGGTAATGAACCTTTGGGTTCCATAAAACGCTGGGAAATTCTTGAGTAGCTGCAGAATTTGTGGCTCCAGAAGGGCTGAGCTCCATGAGTAAGTAAGTAAGTGGGGAGTGGAGTCCAACTGGGTCGACTCGGCACGGCGACCAGTGATTGGCCTATTGTAGCCTGCCCCAGGTGATTATGAAGATGGAGAATTTGGTGGAATGAAGATTGGCAGGGGAAACAGAAGTACTCAGACAAAACCTGCCAGAGCACCACTTTGTTCACCACAGATCCCACTTGACCAGACCTGGGATCGAACCCGGGCTGCCGTAGTGGGAAGCCAATTACTAACCGCTTGAGCTTTGGTGCGGCCTCCCCTTCTATCTTAGTTTCAGGTCTGTGCATGCCTTATGACAATTATTATTGGATATTCTTCCTGTTACCTCCCTTTGACAAAGTCTGACCTCAGGTATTTTTATAGCTGTAGTTGTACTGACATGGGTTGTCCAGAGATTGACTATTAATGTTTTAGTCCCATCATACAACATTTTGTTTATTATAAAATAAAATAATGATATTAAGGGAAACCATTATCTCAGTAGTTTTATTATATTAATCACACTACATATTTCTGTCTCTTCTGACCATCCAACCACTTGATGGTCAAAAGAGAAACATGTAGTATGATTAATGTAATGTATCATGTAGATGTTGCTAGGTAATGGCCTGTAAACAGCATTGGAGGAATGGTGTTTTCTGCTGATAGCTGCTCATGCAACAAAGGCACAGCAACAGAGGAACGGTATTTTCTGTCCTGTCCGTGCCAAGGTGTTATAAGCAGGACGAGTTAGTAATGGACAGAGTTAGTGTTAGTGTAGTGGAGTGAGTTGGTGAGTGAGTGAGTGAGTTAGAGGACTGCTGTGGTTCAGTCCTTGTGAACCGTTGCTGTGAGAAGCTGGTAGCTGAGGCCAGGCACAGTTTGGGAACCCAGAGGAAGGGGAATGCCCACTGTTGGAAGCTGTTACCAGGAAATTGGCAATGACACAGGAAACTGAGAGGACGTAAGTGTATTCTGTTGTGAATTACAGAGTGTGAATTAGCAATAGGGCTCTAGTTGATTATAGTTACAGGTTGTGTGTATAACTGTTCAGTAAATTCAATTACAAATCCAAACCCTGTCTGTAGTCATACCATCACGTGACAATAATAAACTTTTTTGAGTTATTGGTTTCAGTTAGTATCAGTGATTTTATTATACAATAATAAAAACTTTGTTGTATGAGGGTACTAAAACGTTAATATTACATATACACAACATGATGCACAAGGGACACAACAGAGTTGGTGTCTTCCCCCACCCCCCCACATGAGGATGGAAGCAGAGCCAGTTTCGAAAACTCTGTGTTCTCTAGTTTGTTAGAATACCAGATGATAGAGTCCAAAAACCCAGTTATTCTGAACATATACTTTATTTTCTCTCTGTTTACCTCTGCGTGAGCTCCATACTAGCATCTGCTAGACCAGTGTTTTTCTTTATGATATTTTTGTTTACTCAGCTGGTTTTGCGTCATCGGCATAGACCTAAAGCTGATGTGTCCCATTCAGTTTCAGTTCAACTTGGTATTCTTGGACGTTGGTAATGGCATATTCTAAAGTGAAGTTGAAAAGAAATGGCTATATAGCATGTATGAGTTTTAGATCATATTAATAGGAAACATATCAGACAAATCTAACATATGGATTTTATGATGGGTTTCGCAAGCCCCGCTAGTTCCATGGGTATCCCAGACTTAGTAAGAATATTCTACAATACTTCTCTCCTAACTTAATTGTAGACTTTCTTGAAGTTTGTGAATAGCTGATGTACTGTCTCACTGTAGTCCCATTTCTTCTGCAGTATCATAACCCAAAAAGGTTGATTTATTACATTGAAACCCACACTGATGATGCCCAGTAATTTCATTTACATATGGAATTAACCTTCAGAGAGTATATTGGGCAAAATTTTGTATGAAGCTGATAGCAGTGGTATCTCCCAATAATGACTGCAGTCTGTTTTATCCCCCTTCTTGTGAACTTGTACACTACCAGACTCCTTGCACTGAATAAGTAATTCTTCCTTATTCAAGTATAGTTAATGACTTTATGGATCTGAGACCGCCATGTTTCACTTCCTGCTTGAATCAGTTCTGCTGGAATTTGAACAGTACCTATCAGTTTTTACCTTTTCAACTTTGCAGTAGCAGTGTCAAACTGAAAATGACTAGGCTCATGTACTAGTGACTCAGTTGTATGTATTCCATCTGTCTGACATTGCTAACTATGCACATTCAGTAGCCAAGGCTAGGCTGCCTGCTGTATTTTAACAGTGGAGTAACAGTATTTAAGAAACACAGTATTTGAGTAGCTGCATGGTGCACATGAACTTTTGCATTGATGTGCTGCATGACTTGTGATCATAAATTACCATATGGTTTATCTGATGATACAAAATAAGTTCCTCACACGTGCAGTTGGTTACATCAGGTTTGGGTGGCACATCACCACGTCCATCTCCATCAGATGAGAATCCGGCCATGGAGAAGCAGCTGCAGCGAGGCTCACTGTACCCAAATCATCCACAGCAAAACTTACAGCACTACCAGCAGCAGCTGCAACTGCAGCAGCAGACACAACTCCAACAGCAGCATCTGCTGCAGCAGCAACAGCAGACACAACTCCAACAGCAGCATCAGACTGGTGGTATCCAGGTGAGGCTCATGAATCTGCTGTAGGCAAACAGTAAGATGGATCATAATGATTATTTGTAAGGGATGCTTTCTGTTCATCATTTAATTCTCAATGCGCCTTTTTTATCGTCAATCAAGATACAGTAAACCCTTGCTAATCATGAGTAATTGGGTTCTCTCAAGGTTAAGTCCATATGTAGATGAAATTATTGGGGATCATCAGGGTGGGTTTTGACGTAACAGATCAACTACTGATCAGATCTTTTGCATTTGTCAGATACTGGAAAAAAAATGGGAGTACAATGAGACAGTACATCAGCTATTCATAGACTCCAAGAAAGTCTATGACACAGTTAGGAGGGAAGTATCGTACATTATTCTGATAGAGTTTGGGGTACCCATGAAATTGGTTAGGCTAATTAAAATGTGTTAAACGAAACGTATGGTAAAGTCCATATAGATAAAGAATTGTCTGATAATTTCCCTATCCAGAATGGTGTAAAACAAGGGGATGCTTTATTGCCACTCCTTTTCAAATTGCTTTAGAACATACCATTAGGAAGGTCCAGGAATACCAGGTAGGACTGAAATTAAACGGGACACATCAGCTGTTGGTCTACGCCGATGATGTGAATCTACTGGGTGATAATGTAGATACCATAAAGAAAAACACACAAACTTTTAATTGACGCAAGTAAAGAGGTTGGTCTAGAAGTAGACACAGAGAAAGCTAAGTATATGTTGCTGCCTCATCACCAGAATGCAGGGCAAAATCATGACATAAAGATAGGAAACAGATGTTTTAAAAATGTGGCACAGTTCAGATATTTGGGAACAATGATAACAGATTGAAACCTGATTCAGAAGGAAATTAAGAGGTGATTGAACTCGGCTAATGCTTGCTACCATTCAGTCCAGAACCTTTTGTCTTCTCGTCTGTTGTCCAAAAACATAAAAATCAGAATATACAAAACTATACTTTTGCCTGTGTGGTTCTGTATGGGTGTGAAACTTGGTCTCTGACATTAAGGGAGGAACATAGACTGAGGGCGTTTGAGAACAGGGTGTTGAGGAGAATATTTGGACCGAAGAGAGATGAAGTGACAGGAGGTTGGAGAAAACTGCATAATGAAGAGCTTCATAACTTGTACTCTTCTCCAAGTATAATTAGAGTGATCAAGTCAAGGAGGATGAGGTGGGCAGGTCATGTGGCACGAATGTGGGAGGTGAGGAATGCGTATAGGATGTTGGTGTGGAAGCCAGAAGAAAGAGACCACAGGGAAGACCAAGGCATAGGTGGATGGACAATATTAGAATGGATCTTAAAGAGATAGGATGGGATGGTATGGACTGGATAGATCTGGCTCAGGATAGGGACCAGTGGAGGGCTCTTGTGAACATGGTAGAATCTGTTGTAACTAGCTTATTGAATCATTTTTTCAGGAAACTGTTTGCTGCTTCTGACTCCTGAATCAATTTTATTTGCAGGGTACTGTGTTGGGTATTCTGTCTGGACAGCAGTCTCTGTTCACACAGCACCTCACCCCACAACAACAGCAAATGTACCAACAACACATGCAACTACAGCATCAAGCACAGCACCTCAAGAAGATCCGCCGTTCTCTACCTCATTCTGCTCCTGATCAAACTCAACAGATTCACCAGCAGGTGGGCAGATATCTTAGAAAGTTTCTCAGTGTTTTCATTATAAACTCTGTTACAAGTAATCCTTCAGTTTTGGATTGACCCAACTGTCGAACGGAGTTGAATATTTATGTATGACTTAGTGTTCTGCAGGAGTTCATACACAGTAGTACTAATTTTAATTTTATTCTTCCAGACTTTGTCAGTTAGGATGAGGTACACTTTTCATTTCTCCATGTCGTCCAGACTGGCTCTGGTGTCCACCCAACCTCCTATCCAGTGGGTGCTGTGAACTCTTTCCCCTGGGGTAAATCAACCGGGGCATGAAGCTGACCACTCACCTCCAACTAGTGCCAAGGTCAAGAAAACATAGTTCTATACATCCACTCCCCCATATACCTTCAGGGAGTAATGCTTAATTTGTTAAGCACATGGACAACTTTACCTTACCTTTACACATTTCTTTTCAACCCCATGAAAACTTAATTGAATAACAAGCAGCCTGCATTTGCATTGTCATCTGATATTTTGATCTTCTTTGACCTAAATTGCTTTTACTTTTTTGTCAAAGAAATTTACAGAGGTGCATAAAGCATCCTTCCGATGGTGACAGAGTGGTCAGCCACATCTCAGAGATGAGATTATTCAACAGTGGGTTAGTTTAACATATTGTAACGTGTTTGGCTACTGAAGATGCCGTTTGTATTGGTCTTATTAACCATTTACCAGTCGTAACTACAATTACTTATTACACTGTTACTGATTTACACAACTTATACTCACTACACACTAATCTCTTCAGTCTGTCTTCAGTAGTCTTCACGTATTTATAACAAAGGAGCTATACAAGTCTCACTGAATTACACACTCCCGGTACCACTGCACTGCAGCACATGTAATGTCTTGAAGTCGCACAGTAAGTCTTCACTGGCTGACTTCTCAGCTATTGCACACTATCACTGATAAAATCTTCTAATCACACATTCAGGTCTTCTCCTCCTGTGGCTCACTCCGAGTACTAACTTCTCCGACTAACTGATGTTCTGTCTGTATCTGCCGTTATATAGCCTCTGCACTGACCAGAACATGTTTACTGACTGATTGCATAGCAACAGTCACTGCATGGACTCCACTGTTGCATGATATCACAGCCTAATGGAGAAGGGTGTTTATCAAGCGTTGCATAGCGACAGGCTGGGTGGGGGTATGTGACGTCACTCATGGAAATGCAGAGGTCACATGACTCCTGCTTACTACTGCAGTATGACATCATCGTGCCTGTGCGGGAGTCATGTTTACCGGCTGGCACTTAGAAGTGGTTAGCATAACCTCATTCCACTGTTTGATAACTAAGCAACTCACTGTTTATCAAGAGTCTGTCTTCGTGGTGATTCGTTCCACATCCCATTGCCCAACGACGGGTTGACATGTCACAATATGAAATACATATTTAGCTACAGCATTTGTTGTTATTAATTTGTATTGCCAGAGTTCATCTCTACAACATTTTAAAAGAGAGCTTTGCACTTTCACTTTTAGAGGAAAGATGCCAGTGTTGGCCAGCCAGTGGTGACCACTCAGGGTGTGCCGCAGCATCTGGTGAACAGCCAAACATTGGTGAACAATCCTGTCATCTCACAGCACATGATGTGTGGCCAAACTGTGCCTCTCTCGCAGCACATGATGTCTCGTCATGCACTTGGGAGCCATCTTGTTACCAGTCAGCCAGTAATGAGCAGTGGTATTTCAGTTTCCTCAGGTCTGCAACAAGTTCCATGCAGTGAGTTATTTGTACTGAATTCTGCAGTTTTATTGATGGTGATATGATCTGTTTATTTTTATTTTTATGTTTATTATTATACCTATGTGCAGTCTTGTTTGGATTAATTTCTAAGTACCCTACTTTCAAGGAATTATTTCATATTTGTCTATTTTTTCTGCCCATGTATGTGTTTACAGTGAAACTTATACTGTATTTAGGTACTTTATAAACTGGAATGGTGCAGTCAGTAAACTGGACTGCTGACCACCCTTAACTTGCCTCTGTCCCCCCCATACAGTGCCTGGGGTGAAGAATGTGTGTACACCTCCAGTTCTCACTCATGAACCTAGTCCCATTCTAAGCCTAATTTCTGTAACAGACTATACTGAAGCCTTGTAAAGAAATCTTATGAATGATGATGAAAAAGAAAAAGGTAAAGCTATCCCAGTAACAGGTTGTGGAGATCCATACGGGTTGTAAGACATCAAGGCTGGCACATTTCCTAGACAGTTGGCTCACAGATGGCAGTGAGGGTGTTAGCCTTATGTGCTGGCTGCACTTCACCCCCGGGAAGATTCCTGGTACTCATTTCTGTTAGAGGCTGAGTCCACCCCATGGCCCTAATGCAGTTGGAGGGTTTAAGTCAACTGAAAAATCCAGTGACCTCTTCCCATAACCTTGAGGCTGGTACCATAGTGCCGCAACCAACTGTGCTACCGCTTGTGGTGACACAGACACTTCATTAGATAGATGCTAGTGGTCTAGAAGTAAATGCAGAGATACTTTCAAATTGTGGCATGTGTACTGAAAGCCAGAATTGTGAAGCCAGCAGAGACAGACGTTGCTAGGGAATGGCTGTGCAGACATGCCTGTTTTTAGGCAGTGGTTCAGTAGCCGTTGTGTGATGGCCGCAACACACAGACACAAAAATGGAAGAGCTGTTGGAAGCAGTGTTTTCTGTGTGGTCTCTGCTGAGTCTATATGATAAGGACTAGCTGCTATTACCAGTTAGTCATGCGGCAGACAGTAAGTTGAGAAGCTGGTAGCTGAGGCTGGCGAGAGTTTGGGAATCCAGAGGAAGGGGAAAGTCCCACCATTGGAAGCTGCTACTAAGCAGTGCAGTGAGGACTGCCTGTAATGTGTGTAGTCACACGTACCATGTGACAGTATATATGGCAATGGCAGTAACAGATCAGAATTGCTTCATAAAAAATTAAGAGCATTTGCAGATTGCATGTCAGTGTCAGTAGTTAGCACTCTTTCCACTCAGCAGCCATAGAAACCAACTGCCAACACATCTGTACAGCACCTAGGAACAAGAACGGTTCCAGTGAACAGAGGAATGCCAGCAATGACATACTGATCCATGAGCCCATGAAGCACAGTGCTTCATTTTTGTTCATTAAGTTTTGGAAAACCTTTTTATCAGAGTAGCATTTTATACATTTAACTGTTATTCATTTTTAATTTTTAAATAGTGCTTCGCTTAACAGACAGTAAAGGTCCAATTGTTTATAGCTTTCTAAGCAATCTGCATTGTTTTAGATATCATGGATAACATAGGTTTTCTCTTATTTTTCTTGTCAAGACTTTATAGAACTGTGTAGGACTTCACGTCACACCAGCTGGCCATCTGAGTCTTGATAATGTAAACAAGGGGCCCAAGTTTGGGAAAGGATGCTCAGACACACACACACACACTAAACTTTCCAAAAAGAGCAACTTAGACATCCTCCAATCAGTTTGTTACACAGAGCTGTGTATGGATATTATGAATATCATGACAGGCAGCTGCCTTGCTGTCATGAGAACAGCACTTGCTCTCGGGAGAAATCGTGAATACATGTTTATTTGATATTTTATCCATTTATTCATATGAAATGGTTGGTTCTGTGCCAGGGTGTTCCCTCATGCTGCTGCTCCTACATAAGCGCAGGACAACAAATTGGCAGCACTCTGAAAACTTGCTGTTCGTTCTTTCCAAATGTTGAGAGATGACTCCTATAAATGCCTTCTCTGAAGGGCTATTTAAGTACTGATCTTGAACACATGGGGGGAGTGAAGGTATGGATCCACACATTCTTAACCTTGGTACTGGCTGGACTTGTTCATATGCTTGATGAATAGTGTTTCACTATTGGTACAAGCAGTGAATTATTTATTTCATTATGCAACTTTGTGTTTTATTTTCATGTTTTGTTACCTTTTTGTAATTCTTTTCTTTATTTGTCAGTTGATTTCAGTTCTGTCTTCAGTCATGTGAGTCCCATTAAGTGTTAGGCAGAGCTCAGTAAAGGTAATATTGTCTGTTATACTGAAACATATATAATACATAATGGTATTGAAATTAATTTTATGTTTAATGTTTTAATATGCATGATACAATTTGATAAGAAAATGCCATGGTACGTAGGCTGTTCAGTAGTGTCATCCTCCTGCATTTGTTACATCAACAAGTTACAGACATATCTGTATTTCTCCATATAATCAAAGCTACTGGGACATTTGTCACAGTGTAGAACACAAGTCTAATTTTCACAGAGAAGAAACAAGGGCCCAGTGTTTGCATGCACTGGAATATCTTGGTTCTTATCTGGTCACCTTGCTGTAAACGTTTTAAGACATTCCCAGCAGTCTGTGGTTAAGTTGTTAGAGGCATTGCAGGATGCACAGGGCATTCTTCAGTTTGTGGATGATGGAAGAACAGTGAATGTATAGGGTTACAGCACAATGCTTTGATTCCTGAGGGAAGCCAGGGTATTCTGTTGACTGCAAGCTCTGAGCCACGATTGTTTCTTGGGAAGCGAACAGGTTGTGCTTCAGTGGGATAGCAGTTATCTCAGTTAGTCTGGCTAGTTTATGCAGAAGTGGAGAGTTTGAACCAAAAGTCTCAATCCATTTTACAGGACAGCTTCACTAAAGCTAATGAATGTTAGATATGTTATGGGGTGTCACTGTTGTGTAACATAGTCAGTACAGCCCAACTTGCCCCCCTTCCATTTCAAGATATTGTTCCCAGAGTTCCACAGTAGCTCTGGAAACATCACGAAGCATGTTGGATGTTAGTGCCTGTGCTGCTGCGTAGATGTGTTGCCATAGGTCCCGAAGATCAGGAACCTTTGTTTGGTACACCTTAGACTTAATGAAGCCCCAGGCAGAGAAGTGTAATGGTGTCACGTTGGGAGAGCGTGGTGCCCAATGTTTTGGTGCAGCTCTGCCTATCCATGTATTCCAAAAGTGTCATTGAGGTAGTCATGCACTTGAAGATGATACGGGGCTCATTTCGTAAGTTTAAAATGCAAAACTCTCCAAACAGCTGTCCTTGGTATGTCAAGTTGGTTACTTTAGCAGCGAATTGATTGATGTTTGTGGGCTCTGCTCAGCTGTTTGCTGAACTTGTCCTACGTCATCCTTAGAAGTCTGCAGTCTGCCTGAACGTTTCTCATTGAGCACACTTCCTCTTCTCTTGAACTTGTTAACTAGAAGTCGGATATTGGCTCCAGTAGGAGCTTGTTTTCTGAATTTCCATTCAAAATTCCACGCAGTCACTTGGAAACAATTGCTACCCTCTCTTCAGTGTTGAGCATATTTCTTGGTTAGGCAGAAACAAACTAAAAAGAATGATGGAATTCACAAAAATGGATCCAGACTTTTGATCACTCTGTATAATAACAGTACATGGTTTGGCTGTATACGGCCATCATCAGGTGCCTTCTGTCTTGCTAAAATTGTTGCACTGTATGTCAGAATTTCATATCGTGTGTGAATGGGACATTTCCTGATTAAAATAAATCGACCTTAATTAAAACAAATTAATTAACATAACAATATTTTCCTTATGGTTGTCATCCACTCTTATGCCATCTCAACTGGTCTCAACTACCACCATATTATGACAGGATCAGTATTATTATCTTCCACTGCAGGAGGTAAGTGCATGAAATTAAAAAATATAATAGTGCATTACGTTGGATGAACATACCCACTTAAGACGATGTGAGCAACTAATCAAACTTAAGTTTCCTCAGTGTGCGCCTGCTAATCTGGAAACCAGTTGCCTGCATGAAATCGACTATTCTTCTCGTAAATTGCAGTTGCCAGTTTCCTTGGTGTGCCCTTGCCCTAATGTTTTTCTGTTTCAGACATGTTTCTGGCTTCAGCCAGTTTACTTATGGTGACAAGTACTGTATGTTGCATACCACATTTATTTATGCTCTAGAGAAGTCAAAGTTAATGCAAAACTTGACAAAGATTACTACTTTGACCCAATTCTCATTACCGGTTTCATGCAAATTCTTGTTCTAAGTTGTTGGTTTGGAAATATCTTCTGTGCCTAAGAGAATTTTCTTATGGTATCATGAAAAGTTAAACGGTGAAGATTTTCCTTATTTCAATTATTTATGCCCTTACATGTTTCAGTCTTCAGAGACCATCATCAGAGGGACACCTTTACATCAATACAGTTGGAAGCTGCTATTACAGTATATGTTCTAAAACATGATGAACTGTTTAACTTTTCATGATATTGTTAGTGTGATGGACCAGAATGAAAGAAATCAATTTCTTCTGGTACTTGACCCCTCAAGCCTTTTTTCAGTCAAATATGGATGCCATGATTCTCAGAGCTTGTAAGCAGCTGGTGCAGGGGTATTAGAATTCTCATTATTTTGTTGACAGTTTCTATTTTTTTTTATTGGGTAAAAAAACTAGGATACAAAAGTGGCCTAGGCAATGCCCATCCGGCCTTCTGTAGCACATTCTAAAAACTTCTCTTTCTGTAGTAGCGGTGGGCCCGCGGTTAATTCACATCTTAGCATAAATTTGAGAATGTTGTGAGTGGTCCGTGCCATTTCCTCTTGTTCTTTCCTTACGTATCTGTTTTAAATATATATGGGAATGTTGTTTATGAAGTAGCAGACGCCTTGCAGAAATCTCTTTTCTTCTAGCCTCAAGAGCTCTGTGACTGATTTTGGGTAGTTCTTTTTACTGTTCTCGGAGAGGATGCCCGTCATTATTGC